GCTTTTTTCACTTATATTCGATTAGTTTCGGTTAGAATAGTCCTCAATTGTGTTCAAACAAATATCATATTTAAAATCAGTGCGAAAAACTGAGTCGACTTATATGTGTTCCAAACGTTTTCTTCGATCTTTTCTTTCGATCAAATTTTTAGCCGTGGTCACCCTCAGGAATATAAGAAAAATGATTATCACCATTTTATTCCTTCATTGTTGGTCTTTCTGTCTTAAAATAACATCTGTCACCATAAGTTCTTCTTTCCTCTCTCTAAATCATTTTTTGACGAGAATCATTTGAGGACTATTCTAACCGAAAACTATCGAATATAAGTGAAAAAAGCTAGAAATTAGGGGGTCAAGAACAATCGCTTCAGGATTTTGTTTAGGAGCTCACTTTTTTAGACTCTGAAAAATAGCTAGTTTTGTAGCGCTTGAAAAGCTCTATCGAACAGGAAGTGAACAAAGTTTGGACAAAGTTTTGTTAATACAATAATCGAATGACAACTGTAATGCGGATACGTAATTATAAGGTCAAGATACAATAATGATAGGTTTGCATTCAATATATTAAAATCAAAACGTTGTGAATGGTTCTAATATAAAAATGTAGCCTGAACAAGGGCCTATCAGAACAACTTCTAAACACATTTCAACTCTATTTGTTTTCTTGTAAATGAATGCTCACATTGTTGCCTAGTATTAATGGTTAACTGTCCATTTCGCATATGGCAAAGCTAGACTCGGTTCACGCTTGTAATCCATTCAAAACATCTCAATTTTGGCATCAAAATGATCAGGAGCCTATGATCTTTCATCCTAAATATGATTTAATTAGATTGGATCTTAATAGCCAAAAGGGTCAAAATGTGTTCTTATGCGCCCCCGTCGTTTAGTTTTTTCTGCGACCTGTGTATATTTTTCACTCGTTAAAAATGAACTTGCATTTAAAGAACTAAGAAGAAGCAAACGCGAATATAGTGTGCGCTGTGACGCGTTCACACGCATGCCATCTAATAACATGCCGTGCATGTACACGTATCGATAATGTTGCGTGTACACGCGTTTTTTAAGCTTTCGTGTCTGACTGGGAGAGCTTCTTTGACAAAAAGATTAGAATTCTATTCAGTCTGAGATCGACAATTTTCAACGAAAAATAAGTGGTCACGATAAGTTTGTCGTAGAAACTGAAGATCGTGCATAGCTGCTGCCAGTTTCGATCGGTTTCCTTCCATTGCTTGCACCGTCTTTTCTCTGATCTGTGTACTATCACATTCAGTTTGTGCACTAATCATATCAAAGAGACAATTGTATCTAAAAAAAGAAAACGAAATTTCAAAGAGAACAGCCATTCATCTAGTTACTTACATTCTTATTTGTTCTGTATTTTCTTCATGGACAGTTGTCCAATGATCAGCTCTATTAGGTTGATTTGAAGGATGATAAACGATTTCTATTGCAGGTTGTGATGTATCAAGACCAACAACATGTTCAACTCGTCCACGTTCATCATAGATGAGAATTCGTCGATTCATTGCTTGGCTTATGTATCCAATATGATGAATCTGACCAGCTGCACCAAGTCCCACATTATTAATCTCTACCTGTGCTATTGCTACAGTTTCCTCGTTAACATTACCATGTATTTCTGATTGATGGAAAATTTGATGATCAAGAACGGTTCGTTTTTTTATAAATAAATCCAGTTGATTGTTTAGGTTTTGATTAAAACCAGAGAACACTTGATCCATTCCGGAAGAAATCAATGGTCGAACTATACTTGCTTGTAAGTATTGACAAATTATTTTGCTCATTTGATCAGTAATATCACTACAAAATTCTTCGATAGTCAAAGATATTTGGTCATTTTTTGCTTGAGTGACATTACTATCCCTATAGTACAAATAAAATAATCCCTGTTGCTGTTGATCATTTGTTTGATCGACAATATCTTGCACTTCATCTAATTGTCCTAGTCTATTCGCTTCCGTATCTATCAAACCTATTACAATATATGCTTTTTCAATGATTGGAGTTAAACTTTGTATAATTGATGCAGATCTTGTAGCTATACCAGAATGAAATGAAGCTGCTTTCAATAAAACCGTTCCGACCGCTAAACATTTTGCTTTTAAGGACTCTTCATTTAATTGACTAAATATATAATCTTTTAATTGATTCGCATAAAATCGATTTCTTTGTTTGCCATCGCAAGTCATCAAGCGGTGTAAATTCTTATGATTTTTAAATTTTAATTGAATTTCTTCAGCAAGGATTTTTTGTATTGTTGTCTGAATGGAAGGCGGAATCGTTTCTGAAAGAGCATAATCAGCCAATGAAAGAGCCACTTCAACAGCAGCACGTTTTATACTTTGTAAAGCTAACATTTTCCCACCAATTTGAATTCCTTCTTGAAAAGTTTTTGTATATAATTCTTTTATACCATAATTAATCGCATTTCTTACAGTAGTTGCGGCACTTCCAACAGTTCTCATAGCTGCTTTTAAAGCACTAAAACCGGTAAAGATGATAGTTATAACTAGGCTATATACCTTTTGTGTTCCCCATTTACTCCAACTAAAGCTTCTATTAAGAATTCCATCTTTAACACACGTAATTAAATCACTAATTCCTTCTTGTAAAAGTGATAAACCAACTCCAGCAGCAGCTCCCGTACTGAGAACAGCCACAAAAATTCCAACTAATATTTGACTAAGACCAAGCAAGCCCACACTAATTACAGACCACCATTCGATAGGCTTTTGTTCATTGAAAATAATTATTCCAATAAAACCATTTCTTTCAAATTCTTCAATTTCTTTTTTGTAAAGATCTTTATTTTCACTTAATGGTAAAGATTCCATGAGTGTCATTCGTTGAATTTTAATTACTGATTTAGTATTTAAAGTAGTTCCTAAAATACCATTTTCTATTTGATTTCGATTATTTTTAAAACAGTTCAACTTTTCTTCGAGTTGCTTGCGCTGTTCACTGTTCATTTCATTATTCAACTGTTCTTCTAAATTTTTGATATCTTCATCACAAGATCGTCCAATAGCGACATTAATTGAATTCAGTAAAATGCCATATAGACTTTTCAAATGTACTAAAAACTCATGTAGAGGTGAATCAGTTGTCGCGACTGGAAATAGAAGAATCGTTGGATCTAGGATTTCTTTAATAATGCGTCTTGCTTCTTCAAAATTGCTAATCGAATCTTTCAATTGATTTGTATCTCCAGTTTTTTTATACTGTAACGCTCGAGCATAGGCTCGACTATAAAAAGCACTTGCAGCACAGTATGGATCCATTTGAATAGCTTTATTTAAATAATTGATCGCCTCATCAACATTTTTCTGTTCTTTCAAAAGAGTATTTGCCATTTGAACATAATATACTGGATTATCGATCAATGTATTCTGTGGATCATTTTGACAAGTAGTTTTAAACTGATCAAAGAATTGTTGCAATTCGTGATTTGTTTTCGAAGAAGATTCAATTAACCATCGGCCAAATCTTTCTCGCAAAGCATCTTTGGCAATATCTTGACTGTGATCGGGAAAACATTGAATAATTGTCTTTTGTAGTGAAGTAAATTGTTGAAATATTTGATCTTTCTCGATTGTTTTTTCGACTGCTTTTATGGCCTGATTCATATTTTCTTCTTCGATTAATTCACGAAAATAACGCATTTTTTCTAATTTTTCTCTTTCATCCAACCAAATTTGACAATTATCGTTTGATTCTTTCGATGTGTTGATAATAAACTGACTAGTTCCTTGATGACCACATCGTGACGTTCGTCCTTGATTTTGTAGCTCAACACGATCGTTATCCGGCAGAAAAGTAATACAAACATGGAGACCTCCGTTGTGCTCAACTTCTTCTGTAACAAGAATATCCGCTCCACGACCAGCTAGATTTGTAGCAACAATGACATAACCGGCTTCTAAACTCTCTCGCACGACATTTTGCTCATCATTTTCGGTGTATAATTTCACTCTATTCGGAAAACTCAAACGAAGAAAACCAGCGATGGTTCGTGCTTCTTCAATATATTTTGTAATAATTAGAGCTGCTCGATTTCGTTTCATTTTTTCTTCCACATTGTCTGCGATATAATGGAGCCATTGTTCAATATTATTAGTAAAATAAGGTCGTAATTCATAGTGACGACGCTCACAAGGGATGATAATACAATTTGCGGAATAAACTTTACGAAATACACTTTGCGCTGCTTCGCTACCAATAGTCCCCGTCAATCCAATTAGCTTGTCTAAATAGCGTCGAAAAAAAGTCACATGAGAGATAAAATTTGTAATGATATGTTCTGATTGTATTGAACAACCATGTTTCATCTCAAGAAAGAAATGTAAACCATCAGACCAACGCATTGTATCATGTAAAACTCCAGTATTTTTAACATCGACATAGATAATTTTGTGATTTTTCAAAAGGTAATCATAACCTTCTTTCATTTCGAATTTCGCATAAATGGCACTTCGAATCCATAACGACAGTTGTGCCGATGTCACCTTATGTAAATGTTTAGGAATGATTAGTTTTTGTGCCGCTTTTTCAGGTGCAATATCTTCTAAATGCACAACGCTTTCAAAGACTGGTAAAAAGGTTTTTTCGGCAAAATCCATCAGTGATTCGTTTAATGGTTCTCTGACAATATTTTCTTTTTCGTCTTGACATATTTTATACCATTGACCGTCTATTTTCTGAACATTTTCATCAAGATTTAAAATAAGGTTCCAAATAAAAGCTTGGATTGGTAATAAATAGAAGATGGAAGGTACAGGGGTTGATAAATGTAAAAGTTGTTCTCGACCATCGATCATCAGATTATCTACTTCGTCGACGAGAGCAAATTCACATCGACGATCACAACGTACACTAGTGTCATTGAATTCATCTTGTAAAATATGTGCTTCAAAATCATCAGCAGAGCCATAAATAACATCGCATTCATAAACTGGCTGAAAAACTCCAAGCATCTTAAAGATCTGAGCTGAAATCCCTTTTTTCCGCAATCGTCCATAGAGATAGTTTTGGGATGACAAATCAGCATTACAAGCAACTTTTAAATTAAAAAGTTCATAAAAACTCTTTAACTTTTCAGCTTGAATTTTGGCTAACTCTTTTGAACTTGTGATCACATCAACTTTAAATCCGCGTAAAGATATAATCACTGCTAGGACAGATAAAAGACGCGTTTTACCCTCACCAGTATTTATCTGAAGAATTCGGGCAGATGCGTTCGATGAATCAAGAGCTAATAAAATCGAAAGTTTTTGTACAGAACGCGTTGGTTTCTGGGATACTACATCAGAAACCCGGATGACAAATGCAACGAGAGAATAAAAGTCAGAACTCGGAATCAATTTCAACTGATCTTTCAACTTATTTGTGTCCATCGATGAAAAATGGTTGAGCATCATTGAAAGACAATCATATTGATTAGATAATTCTTGTTTCCTTTTTGCTTTATCCGCGGCGTTCATTTGTGTATAGGTTAGATTGATAATGTGATCAAATAGATCGTTCAGTTCAAGCATTTTACTTTGTGAAGGCAAAGACACTTGTATGGCATATGAATGAACAATTCGAGGCCATTCAGATGACGACACAGAACGCTGAATAAAATTAAAAATTGTTCGATCAAAAATTAAGCCGAATTCGACAATAATCGTCAGCACACTATTCAGATGTTTTATATCATCTGTATTATGTACTAATGACATTAGTTCACATAGATCATTTAGTGACCACGTCGATAGTAAGCTTTCAATACAATAACTCAAATTGGATCGAATTCTTGATGGAATAAAAATTTGCTTGCGTATATGTTTAACACATATTAAAATACATAACTGATTCAGACAGATGTCCGTGGTTTTCCCAGTATTTTTACTAAGAAAAGTTTCTATTGCTTCCACAGAGAGCAAATTTTTTTCATCGGTAAAATAATCGAACAGTTTTAATAATGAAGAGGATTCATATGGTTTTGGAATTAAAGTGATAAATAATTGCACAATTCGAATATTGCATTGGAGAAAATGATTTTTATGATGAGAATTTCTCGTTATAGCTTCCATTCCATGATCATTGATCATTTCTGGCAGAAACTTTTTTATCCAGAATGCTTTTAAGGTGCAGCGGAAGTCTTCAAAGCTCAGAGATTGACGTTCACACACGGTATTAAGAGTATGAACAGCATCTGGTCCCATTTGAAGATAGACGCAAAGTTCAATTAAGTGACGAAGACAATGAAAATGACTAATGAAACTCTGTAGAATGATTAGTCGTTCGATTATATAAATGGTATTGTATCCTTCTGAAATAGTACATATATTGATTAATTCGTTTTGCAATTGAGCAATATCCAATGATGTAATCTTGCCCTCGCAATTATCAAGCAAACACCAGAGAGCAAGATCATGTTGCCAATATTGAGAGTTATTGATCATCGATCGAATCTGATATACCTTCTCTGGATTATCTAATATCGAATCAGTATGATGATAAACTGAAGGGAATGTGGCCTGATAGAATGAATCCTTTGAACTGATTAATTGATGAACGTCTAAATATTCGCAGTCTTCCAAACCAGTCTGATCAGAAATCAGATGATCGTTTTTATTTCCAGTCGCCGTAATTCAGCGTATAAAGTAAGCCAATTAAATAATAAGTTATATAAGATTGATCTGAAGTATTTTAAGAAAAATGTCATCTGTTAATACATAGAGTGGTCCAAAAGTTACTGGTCAGCCGTTGACTGCAAATAACTTTTGATAGCAACAGGATATAGAGTTGCGGCTTTCGCTCTTCGAAAGAGCAATGCATGATCCAACGATCTGTATAAAACCCATGAGGATGAAAGATGCTTTTCAAAGAGAATCCTGGATTCACTTTTTTTCTACATGTATTTCCGTCAATTTTCGCAATAATCTCGAATCAAACTACTAGGTGGGAAAAAATATTTTGATAGGGGGTACCGCTATATTTTCAAATAGAGTTAACAATGAATTTTATACCAAATGACAGCCCGTCAAAAACGGGATTCTTTGATACTAAAAAATAGTAAGGTTTATCAAAACTTTTTGATGTCGAACTTAAACAATTTTATGCTTTTTTCCGGATAGAAAACAAGTGATTCGAAAACGGATTTAAGTATTTTATTTGACATTTTTACATGGTTCGATAGAGCTCGTCGAGCTCTACAAAACTGTATATGTCAAAAATTTTTGGAGCTAGTTTTGTGAAATAAAATACTTAAAAAACCTCTTGGAAAATGCTAAAAAATGTTAAAAAACTCATTTTTTCCATTGAAGAGAAAAATACTCGATTTTTCAATAAAAACAGCCTTTTTTCAT